CTAGTTGGTTAGTTCGGGCGCGTGGAGAGGAAGAGGGAGCAGGGGAGGAGGGAGACAAGAGGAAGCTACGGGATGGAGGAAGGGAGGGTCGTTTGCTCCTGGTGAGGCAGGTAGGGCCGAGCGCTCAGCGACCGTGTGGGATGGGACGCAGTTGCGTGGGCGGTTCGGCAGGTCGACGGTGCGGCGTGGGCCTGGCTGCCGGATTTGTTTGTTCGCTCGCCCTCTTTTGTTTACTATTCGCACGTGGTTTCTATGGGGGTGTTTGTTTTGTGGTGTTTGTTTAAGCGATATAAGCGTAAGTCGTCGGAGTAGTGCCTTTTTCTCTTTTCCTTTTCCATCCAGGCGGCTACCCACTGGATTTGTTATCCTTTTTAAATAAAACAAGGGGGAGCTCCCGGCTCCATTTTATAAGAGCATCTCCGGCCGTTTGGCCCCCAGAGGCTAGAAATAGCGCCACCTGGGGCGCGCCGGCGGGAAATTTGGCGTTGGGGGCTCGGGCTCCCAGCCACCCCCAAGGTCCCACCTCAGGTTGATTTTGGCTCACTTTCAGCGTAAAATGGCCCATTTTTAGCTTGCTTTCGGCGCAAATTGGCCCATATTCGGCATACTTCGACACAAATTCAACATAAGCTATTTTTTAATCACATAGTTCATCACAAAAAATCAATACAAATCAAATAGTTCAACAAATGAATAGAAATTAAATAGTTTAACAAATAATAAAAACTCATATTTCATCACACGACGGGCTAGGCGTTACCCTTGAGCCTCCATAGGTGCTCCACCAGATCTTGCTGCAGTTGTTGATGCACCTGTGGGTCTCGGATCTCCTGACGCATATTAAGGAAGGCAGTCCAGGTAGCTGGTAGCTGGTGATCAACTTGGGCAAGAGGACCCTGCCTATAATATGGTTCAGTGTCAAACACTGGCTCTTCCTGCTCGCTCTCAATGATCATGTTGCGCAAGATGACACAACAAGTCATGACCTTCCATATTTGATCTTTCGACCAGGTCTGAGCGGGGTACCAGACAACAATAAGTCGAGATTGGAGCACACCAAATGCCCGCTCGACATCCTTCCTGCAAGCCTCTTGCCACTTGGCAAAGTAGGAGTTCCTCCTGGCACAGGGTTTGAGATAGTCTTCACAAATGTGGACCATCTCGGATAGATGCCATCTGCCAGGTAGTATCCCTTGTTGTAGTGGCGCCCATTAACCTCAAAGTTCACCGGAGGAGCATGACCTTCAACAAGCTTGGCAAAGACAGGGGAGCACTGCAGTATGTTGATGCCATTGTGTGTTCCTGGCATACCAAAGAAGGAGTGCCAAATCCAGAGGTCCTGTGTGGCCATTGCCTCAAGTACCACACTGCAACCGCCTTTGGCGCCTTTGTACATTCCCTACCAAGCAAATGGATAGTTTTTCCATTTCCAATGCATGAAGTCGATGCTTCCAATCATCCCAGTAATCCTCTTGCCGCATTCTGTGCTAGGATCCGAGTAGTGTCTTCAACATTGGGTGATCGCTAGTATTGAGGTCCAAATGCTGCCACCACTACCCTGCAGAACTTGTACAAACACTTAATGGTGGTGGAATCGGCCATGCGTCCATAGTCTTCTAGTATATCACCGGGAGCTTCGTATGCAAGCATCTTCATAGCCGTCATGCAATTCTGGAGTGAGGTGAATCCAAGTGTGCCGGTGCAATCCTTCTTCCACTTGAAGTAGCTGTCGAACTCTCGGATGGAATTCACAATCCTGAGGAAGAGCTTCCGGCTCATCCGATAAAGGCGTCGAAATACTTTCTCGCCGTGCAGTGGAGCGTCAATGAAGTAGTCAACATAGAGAAAGCAATAGCCTTCTAGTCGATGCCTCTACTTTGCCTTCAGCCGGCCCGACGCCGAGCCACCATGCCGCGGCTTTGCATTGCTCGTGAACAGGCCGGCCAGAGCAATGAGGACCATGAGGTGCTCTTCGTCCTGGGCCTCAGCATCGGCTTCCTCCTCCAACAGTGCCACAAGCGCCTCCTCGTCGTCGTTGTCCATCACCGAGCAGACAAAACGGCAAACACCTAGCGGGCATGGCTAGGTTTGATCGGAGCAACGAATCCCCGCCGGTGTGGCCGGAGCGCCGGGAAAGCTCGCCAAGAAGCAGTGTGGGCGCTGCCGCGCAGGCTCTCTCTTTCTCGGTGAGGATATGGCCTTTCTAGCAGCGGTAGGCAGGTGGACGGCGTC